AAATATGGACACAGAAGTCCTTAGCAAAATACTAGCAAGTCAAATTCAGCAACATATAAAAAATTTATATTCTGTAACCAGGTGGGACTTATACCAGGAATGCAAGATTAGTTCAACATCTGAAATCAATTAATGTAATACATCATATTAATAGAATGAAAAACAAAAATGACATAACAATTTCATAAAAGAAAAGCATTTAACAAAATACAACACCTTTTCAAGACAGAAACATTCAACAAACTAGAAATAGAATGGAACTGCCTGAATCTGATAAAGGTTATATACAAAAAAAACAGAGTTAACGCCATACTTAATGGTGAAAGACTGGATGCTTTCCCCTAAATCATGAAGAAGATAAGGATGTGCACTCTTGCTACTTTTATTCAACTTTTTACTTGTGCTTCCAGCCAGGGCAATTTAGCAAGGGAAAAAAATAAAAATATCTCCCTAACCGGTTTGGCTCAGTGGATAGAGCATCGGCCTGCGGACTCAAGGGTCCCAGGTTTGATTCCAGTCAAGGGCATGTACCTTGGTTGCAGGCAGATCCCCAGTGGGGAGTGTGCAGAAGGCAGCTGATCAATGTTTCTCTCTCATCAATGTTTCTAACTCTCTATACCTCTCCCTTCCTCTTTGTAAAAAAAATTAATAAAATATATTAAAAAAATAAAAATATCAATTTTGGAAAAGAAGAAGTAAAGCTATCTGTTTGTAGATGTCATGGTCTTGCACATAGAACATTCTAAAAAATTCAGTAAAAAAAAGTAGTAGAACTTACAACTGAGTTCAATAAATTTGCAGGAGACAATTGTATTTTTATATACTAGCAATAAACAATCCAAAAATGAAATGAAAAAGCCAATTCCATTTGCAATAATATAAAAAAAGAATAAAATACTTAGGAATAGAAGTTCAAAACTTATACTCTGAAAATAATAAAACATTGCTGAAAAAAATAAAAAATATTTAAATAAATGGAAAAACATCTCGTGTTCATGGATGGAAAGCATAATACAGTTAAGATGGCAGAACTTCCCAAGTTTATCTGCAGATTCAATGTAGTCTCTGTCAGAAATCCAGCTGGATTTTTTGTAGAAATTGAAAAGCTAAATTGTTTATGTAATTGCAAGGGATGCAGAATAGCTAAAACAGTTTTAAAATACAAGAATAAAGTGGGAGGACACACACTTGTTAAAATGCAGTCAAAATGTACTGCAAAGCAACAATAATCAAAATAGTGTGATATTGGCACAGGGACAGACTTACATCCATGGAATGGAACTGAGAGTCCAGGTCAATTGAATGGTGCCAAGACCAGGTAAGAAAATGGAAAAGAACACATCTGCACTCTGTGATGTAAAATAGGCCAGGGAAAGCCTGACAATAGGAAACAATAGGATGTTTCATAGTTGTGACCAGCTCTGGGCTCAACTTCATCTGTTTGGAATTCCAACAGGACATTCCAAGATGACAGAGTCCCAGCTGTGACTAGAATTGGGATACTCTTTCTACATGGCCAGCACCCATGTCTTAGCACCAGCAAGAAATAACTAGTTATTTTTGTTTTGCAGCAGCCAAGAATAAATACTTCCATCTTGTTTTCTGGGTGTGAAAAAAATTAATTCTCCCCACTTTGGCATTCGTATATGTGACATGTAGACTCCCTGAAGAAAGGAGTAGAAGATAGAAGATTATATCTATATATATCTATATATCTATATCTATATCTATATCTATATCTATATCTATATCTACATCTACATCTACATCTACATCTACATCAACATCTATATCTATATCTATATCTATATACCTTATCTTCCTAGAGTTCAAGAAAGAACCAAGCTCATTATTTCCCCAAGAAAGTTCAGTAAGTCCTGATCAACAATAAGGACACATTCTCCCTTTCGGCATTGTGGCCTTGTCTCCATTCTGGCCTCAGGAAAACTTTATCTTTCTAGAAACAGAGGACAGAGTAGTCACTTCTACAGTCTTGCAGCCCTTCAGCTGAGGCTCTATATCAAAAAAGTCACTTGTTTTTATCAGAAAAAGAGCTTCCTTCTGCTGATAACTGATTATTTAGCACTATATTTATACCCAATATAGTTTTTAACACATGATATTTAAGAAAAAGGATAAAATAAGAATCAAATATGCAGAGAGGCAGAAAAGTATTTTTTACTTAAAACTTGCAATATTCATACCACTCTCCCTAGGAGAGTTTAATACTAAGTGCCACTTAGTTATTTTCCAAGGTAGAAAATTGCAGCAGTCTGAGGAGGAAAAAGAGAACAAATTACATTTATATAGCAACCCCCCTTCCCAAACTTCTGCTTGTCTCCCTTCTAAAAGTGTGTCTTTGCCTGAAAGTTAATAGCAGAAATGCATTTGTGACTAAAAGGTCCTCTTATAGATCTCAATAAGTATTCTGCACATTCTTTACATTTTAAATAATAGAATTTTAAATACATCAGGTTCAGGGGGAGACTGAAGAAAGAGCTGCCCTTTTGTTATGTGGAATGAATAAAAATGGAAAATGTGGGAAAACAAAGAGATTTTCCATGTCAATTTTGGCCTCACTTCTCCAAGGGCCAGTCAATTCCAGTCTTATGGCCAATGCCTGGACCACGTGCAGTGGGTGGAAGTCATCAGAGAAAGAAGAAAAATGAATCCAGAACTTCTGCAATTTTAAATGCCCTCAAATCAATAGGCAAGCTTTGTATTAATGGAAGTTGTTAAAGCTCTGCCAGTTAGTATATAAGAAAACTCACAGAGACTATGTGAAATTCTTAATTTGGATACTATTGGTAACTAACAAAATAATCAGGCTTCTGTAAAATGACATTAATGATCCATGTGTAAAGATGTAAAGAGATCACAGGAGTGCCCAGCGGGTGTGACTCAGTGGTTGAACTTCTACCTATGATCCGGGAGGTCAAGGTTTGATTCCCTGTCAGGGCATATGCCCCGGTTGCAGGCTTGATCAGGAGGGGGTGTGCAGGAGGCAGCTGATCAATGATTCTCTCTCATCAATGATATTTCTATTTTTCTCTTCCTCTCTGAACTCAATAAAATATATATATATATATATATATATATTTTTTTTTTTTTTAAAGAGGTCACAGGAGCAAAATAATAGGCAGACTGAGAGAATTCTATTTACCCTGAAGAATATTCATTCAGCAACTATCTCCCTCCCTTTATGCCAAAACAGGGTGTGAAAGACACTAGTATAGCAGGTTCATTCATAAGCTCCCAAATATATCGCCTGGTGCGCCCACTTGTCTTTCCAGAAATTGGTTCCTTGCTCATTACCCCAAAGCCCAGCTACACTGGGCCATCAGCCCAGGTGAGTGGGTTGCCACCAACGCCAGGGAGCCAAATGCATATTGTATGAGGCCTCTGCAGACTCTCTGCACACCCAGTGACCCAAGCCTTTGAGGACTGAGTGAGAAGCAGAAAAGTAGATCTATGTTGGATCATAAAACGCCATAGGTACCTGGAGACAAGATGCAGGGAATAAAGAAGAATGCTTCAGTTTATTTAAGGCAACATCACCATAGTCCCTCAGATACAAGATTGTGGATGGGGATAGGTGGGGAGGGTAATAGAATCTACCTCTCAAAGCTGTTCTGAGAATTAAACAAGATATTATTTTGTGAATAGCATAGCACATTGCATAAACTTTAGTAGTTGTGCAAATCTTGCTATTATCATAATGACATGGGGGACATTATTTTTATTTTTCTTAAACATGGTTTTATTGATTTCAGAGAGAGGAAGGGAGAAGGAGAGAGAGATAGAAACATCCATGTGAGAGAGAAACATCGATCGGCCCTCCGGTATGCCCCTACTGAGGATTGAGCCCACAACCCCAGGCATGTGCCCTGACCTGAATTGAACAGGTGCATGGGATGCTGCTTGACCAACTGAGTCACACCAGCCGGGAAATTTTAAAAAACTCTCCTAATCTTTCCTGCTATAACTCCTTCCTCCCAGAGCAATTCTGGTTTTGAGTAGTTTTAATGTCCACAGTGTACAGCCGAAGTCTCCTTTCTGTGCACTCCTGCTTCAACCATCCACTCAAGGCTTCTGGCCTGAAACTCTCAGTTCAGATTTGAAAAAAAGAATAACCCCTTCTCAGAGGAAATAAGACAAAGTATGTTCAGGAACTACTTAGAGGACGAAGAGCATGCTTGTTGAATTAAGAGACGTGGATATTCTCTTGGAGAAGTGGCAAAGAAAACTGGGGAGGGAGGGATGAGACAGGGGATAGCAGGACTGTCAGTCGGAGAGAACGCATGGTATGAATCGGTATCAGTACTCATTCAGCAAGGAGACACCTTCCAGAATACCGGCGTTTGACATGGGTTTCACTCCGCAGACTGCCTCTCTGTGTGGCCCAGGACTCTACCTCTGTATGGGGGCTCTTGAAATCCTACCCATGGGGAAAGTCACTACTAAGAGCTCAGAGCAATCTGGGCTCAATGCTTTAAACTGCCATGCACTGTATTTGGGCCTTAACTCCAGATACTCGGCTTGACCAAGTTGCAAGATCAAAGTCTCACCAATGACTTGGAATTGGACCCTGAAGTGGACACATTGGGTACTGTTTTTATCATGTGGATAAACTGTATAGCTGCAATGCAAGAGAAGATGAAAATATGGAAGGGCAAAAATTTTAAGAAGTGCCAGTAACATCTCATGTACTTGGCATATTTAATCTTCATAAAGCACTCACATTGGTATTGTTTTCGACATTTTTAAAAATTATTTATTTTCTTTATTGATTAAGGTATTACATATATGTCCTTATCCCCCATTGCCCCCCACCCCCCTGCTCATGCCCTCACAGCCCCCCCTAGTGTCTGTGTCCATTGGTTATGCTTATATGCATGCATACATGTCCTTTGGTTGATCTCTCCCCCATCCCCCATCCTCCTCTGCCTTCCCTCTGAGGTTTGACGGTCTGATTGGTCTGTGTTTTCTACATTTTACAGGCAAGAAAGAGGCTCAGTGAGAGGCATAGCCCAGCTTCAAATGGGGAGCTCCAACTCCTATCCGATGCTTTTTATCACACCATTTGCTTCCCCATGGCATTACTGCAGAAGGTGGGTATTCTCTTTCTAGCATTTTTATGAACTATTTCCCACTTAACAAGTTTGGAGAGTGGCATAAATCACCTCAAAGTTACTTCCCTGTTCTGTCATTTATTAAAAGGATGGGCCTTCCTTCAATGATAAGGCCTAAGGATAACAGGATTCTATTAACGTTTGTCTCACTTCAGGGTGGAGACAAAGCTGGGATCCATGGGGGGCGGGTGGTGGGCTGAGAAATCAGGCAAGTGTGAATTCTAATCCTGGTGCTGACATTGACTTCCTCCTAATCCTCACACTCACTTTGTTTCTATCGCAACAAGGTTAATGGGACTCATCAATCTCGCAGGAGGGTGTTCATGGCTGCTCAGCATTTGCAAGGAGCTGAAGCCTCATTTCTGTGGGCTTGTCATGGTTTTACATGGGGGCATCCTAAGAAACAAAAATCATGACTGCTCAAAGGCAAGTTGTTGAAAACTGCATTTAAAAAAAGATCATATGGGAACCTGCTTGATTATCTCTACTTATAAAACCCATTTTGAAAAGCAGTTCATTACTTATTCAGGGGAAAAATCATGTAGCTAAAGTCAAACCTAGGAGAAGGCACATGGTAGAGAGGTTATAAAATAATCCCAGACACTTTGGAGTTTAACAACCACCAAAAAAAAAAAAAAGCAATGCAATGTAATTATTTTCCTATTTTTTTAGTATTATCTTTACCTATAGAATGATAGACAGAGTTGAAACACAGGATAGTCTTTTGCATCCTCATTTAAATGATCAATTTTTTACTCTGAAGAAACATTCTGGAAGAAATAGAATCATCCAGAACTTGTAAATGTGCTCAGCGTTTGAATGGGTGAAAATAGCCAAGCACAGTGGGAAATCTCTAGTTTCTATACCTGTCTGAGGTTAAATAATTTGCCACGTGAGCTTCATGTTGCCATGTCTTTTTATAGATAGAGAGATAGATAAATAAATACATAGATGATAGATAGATAGATAGATAGATAGATAGATAGATAGATAACAGATAATTAGATAGGTATGTATATATGCATGGGCATATATATATATATATGTGTGTTTATTCATGTATTGTTATTGAATGTACAGCTTTTAGCTTCAAAAAGTTTTTCCTAACCTGCTGTGATGGGGTCCCCACCTGCCATGGAGAGTGGGAGGAAAGAGAGTGGGTCAGCCAGCTGTGCTCCTGCATCTGTATTTCTTCCATCCTGCACGTTATGAAAAGAGAAAATGTCTGGTGTTTCTCTGCATACCTTCTTATTATCACCAGAGACTGATCAAGTCTGCTCTCCCTCTGAAGAGCAGCGAGACTCCCCCTTTTTTTATGTAGGTCTCCCACATATTTCTTTTTCAATCCTTAACTGAATTTCCAACTGCCTTTCTTAGACTGATAAATCGGGGACTTCTTTTTCCCATTCTGGACTCCATTCTGGCATCACAGTAGCTATACAAACCAGAGAGTTAAGCAAACAAAAGAATTTTTCATTTTCTCTTTCATTCAATAAGGCTCCATTTTCTGTCCCCCTGCAACCTTTTGACCTGCGTCCTAATGGCAGTGGTCACTCAAGGGCAGGAGTTCAGCTGTAGGTTAAGTCTGTGTGTGTTTATGTTGAGGAGGGGGCCTGTTTGCACTCATTTCCTGTTGTCTGTGCCCGCACCATGCAATTGCTCTCCCAGATCCCTGGGATCCCACCTGCTGAGTGAGCTCCCTCCCCCCTGAAAGATAAGTTAAAAAAAAAAGAGGAAGGTTGTTTTTCCATTCTTCCCTCCAGTCACCAAACCCTTTGTCTTTGCTGCAAATTAGCCCAGTTTTACCTTGAGAAGTGGAGGGAATATGTGCTCTAATATTGGTTATAACAATTTCCCAGTTTGCATTCCCTAACACCTATGAGTCCATAAATCCTGAAAGCTGCATTAAAATGTACTTTTGGTTGCTGTTTTAAAATGTTTGAAACTAAAGGGAAACCATGTATGAATACCTGAAAGACCATGGAGACAGACTATATGGGAAAAGTTCTAATTTAAATAAGAAAGTCTTACAATTTCTCCCATAGGATCTTTTTTCTTTTCTACATGTCTCCTCTCACCACCTCACCTGCTACTGCTCTACTCTGCCACCTTACAATGTTTTTTCCAGGAGGGAAACACTCTAACTCCGACTAGTATTTGTGTTAAATAGCTGACTGGTTGTATGCAAACATTCATTCATCCAGCCCATTCATTATCTATTCAACCATTCATTCATCTCTTCCTCTTCCAGGCAGGCCCAAACTCTAGAGGTTGCACAAATGTGAACTATGAGTAGCTCAGTATGGCTTCAGTATAGGATGGGACAAAGGAGAGGTAAAAACTGGACTGCAAAAGAACATAGTGCCCATCAGCCACTCCTAATACAGAACTTTGGGAAACATACCATGTCTTACATCTCCTATCGCCACAAACCTTCTCTGTATAACCCACGGGATCAGGCATTGTGTACACAGCATGGCAGGGCCCTCCGGGACCCTGTTCTGTCACATTCAACTGTCCCCTGAAAGATACCACAGAAAGGATATTTAATTTGGTACCTCTCCAAAACCACTGATTTACTCTCCCTGCTGGTTCTCTCTTTCCCCTTCATGTCTGTATGACAGACTCTAAGACCAACAATGGGCATGTAATTAACTACTTGACCTCTGTTCGGCTATGTGGACAGACGATATGTAAAGCTTCCTGCCTTCTTTTCCCTTTTTGCCAGGATTCCATGTTATGTGTGTCCCCTCTGTTGCTCAATCTCTTGTTTCCTCTTCCCCCATATGGTGTGACAGATCACTACAACAGACCATTATGGATGGGCTCCCATGAGGGAAGACTGCCCTACTGAGGCAGATTAATGATCTGCCTGGAGTAGTGCCACATTCTGTTTTCTAGGGGCCAAACCCGGATGCTACTGAGGAAGATATTAAAGAACCCATAGGCACTTAATTGTGCAATGGTATACTTCCCAGTGCCAGCTGGTGTTCAAATTAGGAGATGAAATAAGAGGATTTATAATCCTTGAAATTTCCTCTGAGCCTGTGTTGTCACAGAGGCAGTCCTTACTCACCATATGGTCCATCCTTTTTGCAAGGTTCCAAGAAACTCACCAGGGCATTGAGTCCCAGGGGTTAATTTCATTTTGTCTGTTTACTTCCTATTATGGCAAGAAATAAGAGGCAATGCAATACTCCTATTCCGTTTCTTATTTTTTTTTTCTTTGAATCTATGTCCTTTTCCAAATTAAGTGGTTCTCTCCTTAAAATATATGATTCTTCTTTACAAAATGGTTTAGCATTTCTTACTATAAATCCTCCTTCATTCAGCTGTTCCTTATTCTTTATCTGAACTGTCATCATACTCTCCTCGCCTAGGATTTCTATCATTGTCCAAATTCTAGTTTACTATAAACATTTCCAGAATTTTCATGGTGACTGAGGGTTTTTCTCATCTCTAATTCGAGGATCTTTGCCAAAATATAAATATCTGGGACATTGTTCTCTATATATGGTTTTGCCCCAATATTAACAGGAAAACAAACTTATTATGTACCCCTCTCCCAGGGCTCTTCCATATCTGTGTACAAAACTCAGGAGACAAAAATTCTCATTCAAGATGTAAATGGTGATTGATCAAAACAGAACAAAGAGAGAACACAAGGGCATGGACAACAGTGTGGTGACTGCAGGGGGGGTGGAGGTATAAGAGGGCATAGAGAGGATAAATGGTGATGGAAAAAATAAAATAAAATTTAAAAATTTTTAAAGATGTAAATGGTAAACCTCAATTATTTAGGAGTTATTATAAAAATCAGTGAATTGAATTTTAGATAATTTCTGAAAAGAGATCATGAAAAGAAAGATAATGACCAATCTGGAAAAGAGTAAGAAGCCTTCTATTGAATTCCATGGGTGGGTGTGGTCCAAAGGTAGAGCTTGCATTGCCAAAACTCTTGGTAATCAAAGAGTTTTGAAGAAGCTAGAAAAAGATGGGAAGTCCAAGGTCAAAGTCATGGACAATAATCTGAATAATGCACAAAACTGAAAGTGAAAGAGGAAACTGAAAAAACAACACTATCATTAATGCAGTTTAAATAACTGTTTATTTAATTAGTTGAAAACTAAGTTTGTCATAAAAAGGACTATAGTCAGCCCACATAAGAAGAGCAAGCAAAAACAAAAGTTTATGTTTTCAGAAATTTGAAGAGGAAATCCAATCAGGATAAATAGTTAGAAATATAATTAACTAGTTATGCCCATTAACCATACCCTAATGGTCAGGTGTTAGAGGAAGGAAGGATGAATATACATATGTCACTGTTAAAAGAATAGAGACTAAAGCCAGACTGATTGAATTCAAATCCTAGATCTGCCATTAACTAGCTGGGCAACTTGGACAGATTGCTTAACCTTCCCATGCCTCAGTTTCCCTATCTATAAAAGAGTGATAATAGTATTTACCCCAAAAACTGATTATGAAAACTAAAGGAATATATACATATGCATGTTTTAAAACAGTTTTTGACACATAGTAAGCACCACACGAGGACTTATTGTTGTTGTGTTACTCTTGGACAAAAATAAGAAACAAGAAGGAACTATTTATGTGTTGACTTTTGTAAAGTCAGCTTCCTTAGAAATAGCAATAGAACTCAAGACATCTTTCACTGCATTTGCGGGATGGAAAAAATGAGGGAAAGAGCCAAAGGGAGAAGGAGAAGAACAGGGATGCCTTAGAAATAATTTCTGCACAGTTCACATTTTTTTCAGGGTTGGGTCCTGCCAGACCCTTTATCTTCACATTTTCTGCACTTCAACTCCTGTAATGGGAACTGAAAATGGAACTCACACCTACCACCCTTCTGGAAATGACATTGGATATTTGCTGGTTGTAATCAACAGTTTTTTTAAACCAGATGAAGTTCCAGTTTTTTACTCTTTATTTGAATGTACCCCCAATCTCCCTAAGAGACAGCTGAGATTTTGAGAAGTAGAGATGGGTAGAAAATGTTATCAATGTGAAGGGAACAGCCTGAGCAAAGGCAGCAAAACCTGGAAACATGAGGGTAAACCAGAGCATATATGGACTAGAATACACGTACATCTAAGTAATGTAAAGGAGAAAGGGTAGAAGGGATGGATGCCAAGGCAAGAACATAGTGCTTCACCTGGGAGACAACACTGGAGGGCATGGGGGGCATGTTCAAGAGATTGTTGGATAGTATTCATAGTGTAGAAGCAAAAGATCTAGGAGTCAGAAGACCTGTTCAATAACAAGATAACCTTGCTCATGTCACTTAATTTCTCAAATCCTCCGTTTCTTTATCGTTTCAATGTTTTTAAATGTATAGAACTTCTGCTATGTGCCAAACACCGTGCAAGGCCCTCTAACGGATTAAAAATTGAATGACGGCATCTGTGCAATTAAAAAGTCAGATCAAGCAACCTGTTTTCCATGTCCCAAGTCTAACATGTCATGATAACTGTAATCAGGATCCAGCCAGTTGGACTCCCAATCCTGTTAATGAAGGGTAGCCAAAATAGTCAACAAATGTTGTTGTATGTAGTCTGTAGACATTGAACTCTGAAAAATTTTGTTAAGACCTACTATCTTACTGGCCTGGCAATCTTTTTACTTTCTCCAGGTGAATAAGCAGGTGAAGAAAACTTGATGCAAGAGTTATTGATTCCTTATGCCGCCTAAGAAATTAATGACATGAGAATGAAAAAAACAAAATGGAAGTGCAATATATAATGATAATCAGGAGGTACTTTATCTTGTCCAATTTTAATCAACTTTTGAAATACATAAGTAGAGTTTTAACTGGTTGGTTGATTAATTATTTGTCAGTTTGTGTGTTTTCAAGTGATTTGTGATTTTTTAAAAAATGTTTTTCTCCTTTCCTTTTAAGAATCCCTGGCAAGTTGACATACATATGGTGAACACATGGCCTTCTCCTAATTGATTTAATTCAAAAGAGGACCCAGGGGAAAGCTCTAAGCACTATCTGTTTGAGAGCTTTGGGGAATGTTTATTTCAGAGTGAAGAGTGTAAGTGCAATCCCATCAGAGCCGTGCAGTTGAAACAGGTTGGGCAGTACCCGCACATGGCCGGAAGCATCACTGGTATAAATCATTAGGATAATTTTAACTCAAGGTTTCTGATTTGGCAGAATAATATAAAATACAGTTTAAAATAAAAGTAGTCGTTATTGATTGTGATGTTTATTTCAAGTGATGTTTATTTTAAAAATTGTACGAAATTTCCTCCACTTGTAAAACTGTCACTTCTCAGGTGAAACTGCATTCATTGCCTAATTAACCAGCACTACCCAGTTAGAGATCAACTTGATTACATTCCACAATGAGCTTGTGTTTGCCTAATGCATCCTCCACCTGATAGAAATAATGCTGTAGCTAACCTACTGCGGAAGAGATGGTGCAATCGACTGCATTCCTTCCCTGCAGCCTGCTGTAAATAAAGCCATGTGCCTATCGTCTGTTTGCTAAATGGCTCCTAGATGATAGTAATCCAGCTGCAACAAAACTAAAACCAACTTGCGTTCACTCTCTTATTGTCCTCCCTGGTTTGGCTCTAAAAATAAGGTCAAAATACCTGGCATTAGCTGATGATGGCCTTATTGGTTTGGAGCTTATTTAAATTCTAAATATTGGATTACTGGACTCAATTTTTAAAATGTGACATCTGCCCATAGCCCTATCAATGTCTTTGTGTCAATTATGCCCTATAATCAAAGCCTATTTTATCATGTGACAAAAATAAAGGACATATCAGATATATCAGTCCTTCTGAGTCAGGCATGGTATTTATATTAAATATATATTTTATATATTTTATACAGTAAGTGTATATGTATACATACACATCTTTATATTATACATATATGTGTGTGTATATATATAATATATATAGGTGTGTCTTTTATTTTTTTGCCTCTTTAGCCTTTCACCTGACACATAATATGTTTCTAATAGATGTTTGTTGAATGAATGAATGGTACTTTCCATGGTTTACATAAATAACTATCCATAAGATAATTTTAGAGTGGTAGTGGCACTAGTACTGATAGTAATGCTACTAATAATAATATAGCTACTATTAATTGAACTCATACAAAGTCCAAGCACTAATGAAAAGGTACTTTGAACTAAATATTGTCTCATTTAATTCTGGTGATTCCTAGAAGAGAGATCTTGTTATTCCCCAGGTTATAGATCAGGGAGTTGGGGTGTGAGGAGGTCACATAATGCACTTAAGAACAAATAGGTAATAATAATACAGAATCTAAATAATCTTGTAACCACCAAACTATTTCAACTCAGGGAGCACACTGTCATTTCCATGAGATTGAAGGCTACTTTAGTTTCAGCAGTCTGATTTCACTTACATCTTCCCTCCTCTCATGAGAGTTAATCTATATATATAAAATCCCAAGCAACTGAATGACTGAAAAACTGGTCGACTGGTCACTCTGACGTGCACTGACCACCAGGGGACAGACACTCAATGCACAGGATTAGGCTCCCTCCTGTCTGGATCAGGCCTAAACTAGCTATCCGACATCCCCCGAGGGGTCCTGGATTGCAAAAGGGTGCAGGCCAGGTGGAGGGACCCCACCGAAGCACAAATCCATGCAAGGGGCCTCTAGTATGCATATAAGATCTTTGGTTAATCTCTTCCCACCCTCCCCACTCCCCTCTTCCCTCTGAGACTCATCAGTCTGTTTCATGTGTCCATGCCTGTGGTTTCCGCTCCTGCATTAAGCGTCTGCCCCCTGGTGGTCAGTGTGCATATAGCTACCAGTCAGACGGTCAAATGGTCAGCTGGTCTGCCAGTCACTTAGGCTTATATATATATATATAGATTGCTTTGGACAGTTGTCAATGACTCCATATCCATAGACTATAAAATTTCTGCATTCCCATACCTAAAATGGTTCTTTAACTTAATAGGAATGCTGTAGACTCACAATAGAGGTCTCTCTGGATACCTGGATGTCATCTTTATTTGTGAATAAAAGAAGAATTGGGGCCCATCATTTTTTTTTTTTAATCCTCACCTGAGGATATTTTTCCATTGATCTTTTAGAGAGAGTGGACAAGAAAAGGAAAGACAGAGAGAAACATCGATGTGAGAGAAACACATGAATTGGTTGCCTCCTGCATGGGCCCTGACCAGGGCCCAGGCTGAGGAGGAGCCTGCAACCAAGGTACATGCCCTTAAGTGGAATGGAACCCAGGACCCTTTCATCCGCAGGCCACCGCTCTATCCACTGAGCCAAACCGGTTAGGGACATCACTTGTTTTTAAGTCTTTTCAAGAAGCCCCTCCAAAGTCCTTTCAGTTTTCTCCCATGAACATGTCTTTAATACATAGGCAAAATGATCACCCATTGACGTTTTCTGGACAGCATATTTTTAAATATTCTTTTTCATAGACTACATCAGCACATTCAAGTTGGTCAGACAGTGTGTTCCAATTTGAGGTTTGAAAGTATGGCATAGGACACATACATAATAAGTTAGCATCATAAATTGAATATGGCTCTCTCTCTATCCTGGTATTGCACAATATTTTGAAGGGACTAGGACAAGATTGATCAGACTACAAGGGAATTCACACCATAGATGCTAGTGAGTCTGTTTAATACTCCCCTCGCTAAGAAAAGGCAATTCAAGTAAATATTTGCATGGTGAACAATTTACATTCTTCCTTTCCCATAAATGTCTACCTTTCATCAAAGATCCACTCATCACCTGCACAAACTGCAGGTGTTGAAGCCAGGTCCGTGACCCTGAAGACCATTTTTGCCATTTCTGAATGACCTGTGCATCCAAAAATGTGCCCTACGTCTACAAGCAGTTGAGCTTCTGAAATTCTCTCTAAGAACACAAAGCATATGCCATGCAGCTGGCTCACATATCACCCGTGGTGTCAGACAACTGCTCTCTGAAGGGCTCTGGGTTTCTGATCAGGAGACACCTGTCATGCTGGTCACGCTGTGGGGAAAGCGTGGAGCTGGGATACTAATAACCAGGTTCTGGGTCTGACTTGGTCACCAGAAATGTGTGGCCATGGATTAGTTCCCTTGTGTCTAGGCCTCTACTTCCTCACTTGACAGGTGATTACAGAAGCTTTAAGGCCCTTAGTTCAAAACACCTGTGATTGTATGATTTTACAATCTAACAGGATAATAGGAACTTGCTCAATATACTCTAAGAGTTTTTTTGGAATTCTATTGGTTATTAGATACCTTAGAGCAGAGGTTTCCAACATGGGGCACACACCCCACAGGGGGCAATCTGATTTTTAAGGGGGCAATTGAGAATGAGTTGTTAACAGTGAATTTTTTGCATTTCTTACGGTTCTAGGGGCCTCATATACAGTATAGAAATATATGTTGTGACATATTTATGCATTTCAGTTCTCTATTATATGTTTTGAAACTTTATTTGCTATTTTTTCCTATCACTTCATATTATTATTTTTTTTAACAATTTCTTAGTGATTTCTTCCTCAGTACTTCAATTGTCCTTTCATTCTTTTATTTTTCTCTTTCATGGATGCCATGTTCTTTGGAAGCTTGTTTAGACCAAGTTAATGGCCTTTTCGGCTTCCTCCATGTGAATAGTAGTTCACTTTTTTAATAATAAGAATTATATGTCATGGGGGGGGGGGTGGGCATCAGGATTTTAGAGATGCTTAGGTGGGGCATGGCCAAAAAACGGTTGGGAACCACTGCCTTAGAGAATTTTACTTGCAAAAAATTACTTTAAAATTGAGTTTAAACTCACCCTCCAACAAAGCTATGGTACACTATGAACATGATATACCTTTTTCCAAGCACAAGCCCCACTGGCCAATGTACAAAGACTTGACATTCAAGCATATGCATCACTTTTGCAAATTTGGTTCAGCAGATTCATAATAAACTAGTTTAAAAATAAGATTAGATAACCTTATTTTTATTGATTTTTAGAGAAAAAGGAAGAGAGAGGGAGAAAGAAACATTGATTTGAGAGCAAAATATTGATTGGCTGCCTCCTGCATGCACCCTGGCCCTTGGTGATGGAGCCCAAAACCCGTGCATGTGCCCTGATGGGAATTGAACTGTCAACCTTTCAGTTCACGGGATGACACCGAACCAACTGAGCCACACTGGCCAGGACTAGATGAACTTATTTTATGGTAACAAAGAACTGGAGAAAAATAGAAAATGACTTTTCTGTCTCCTTGACACATTTTGTCTGAGTGGGCGGGATTCATGACCCAACCAGGACAAGTGGCAAGAAGCAGAGCTACCCAGGAGCCTCAGAGAGTTTCCTGCAGCCTTTCAGAACTCTCTTGGGTCAAGGAGATTTACCACCTTAGCCAAAATTGACCCCTCCAGGGTCAACTTGACCCCTTTCTAAGAAGCAGCTCTGGTTTAAAAGCTAAACAGAAGTATGCCACCTCCTGAAGTACTGGGCCTTTATGTACCATGGCATCCCTAAAGCATAGAAAAAATAACAAGAATTAATATTTTTATGACCATTTACTCTCAACAAAGCAATTTCGCCTTCCCAATTCAAACGTTGCCAAATGAAACTCAGAAGACATCTCCCGTGGCACAGGTGTTCGTTTTGCTTTAGTATTATAATTTTCTCAGCACAGGAAATATTAAAGGCACACAACAGAGCGCAAAATCCAATGTTATCCAAAATCACAGTGCTTGACATGCTGGAAGCTTTTAAAATGTTTTCCAATTTCAGCTACAATGAGGAGCTACACAACCTGCACCTGTAAATCCAAAGCATGAAATGGAAACAGGCGGCCATTCATCTGCATTCCACGGGGAGCTGTAAAACTGTCCGGGGACATGTTGAAGAGGAGGCTGCGGGTGTTTCATAGTAGAAAGTGATTTCTAACATGGAAAAATACAGGTGGCAAGAGACACAGGTGGCTATTGAGGAATAGCCAGGTTTAACCCCTCAAAAGGAGATCCTTATGGATAGAAGCTTTTAAACATTTAGCTTTCATTAGGACTCACAGGCCCTCAGTAGGCCCCTCCTGGCTACTCAAGTCTTTTACTCAGAATGGACCCTGTAGGCAACCCCGCCTTACTCTGGTACCTTTCTCCATAGCCCTTCCTAAGTTTCCTCTTGTCAATCATCAACTCCAGAGTCTCCACAGTCTACCTTCTCCCCTCTCTCCTAGTTGTTTTAGGAGCATCCTGGTGTAGTCTGTTTTGTCAATAATTATTAATACCACTGCCTTTCACTCTCAAAACCATCCTGTTTTGGAGGATAAAGTATATGGTTGCCCTCTATCTTGCCTTCCTCCCTTCTTCTTTCTGTAATGTCTGTAATTTCTGTTTCTGCACCATCAAAATACCATGTCCATATAAATGCCTGCCAAATACTCCTCTAGTCCTGAGCTCCCTTCCAAGCTTCAGGCAGACAGTTCCATTTTAGTGTTATCCATGTCTATTTGAGAGTCTTTCTAGAATTGTAGACTCAACAAATAATAAATTAAGTCATCTGCCCCTCTTTCTCAGACAGACAAGTTATTCTCTGGGCATTGTAATTTCTGTTTAAAAAAAAATCCAATAAAGCTCAATTCTGTAAAGTCAACTTGTCAATGGAATCATATACCATTTCCTGTAAGTTCTTCTGGGTTAGGATGTTCCAAACCCATGTTTTACTTTTCCTTCTAGTAGAAGCACCTTAAGCCCTAATCTCCTCTCTCTCAGAT